CTCCCCCCCACCTCTAGGAGACCCCAACACGGGGGCAGCAGAACGAAGGCATGTTTCGTGGCACGTAGTGGACCATGATTCCAGATGACGTTTAGTCCAGTTAATGTGAGGGTTATGCTTCTCCAACCATTCGAACCCGAGAACCAGCGGGGAACATGCAGAGGGAAAAACAAAAGATGTTATTGTCTCTCGATGGTTACCTGACAGAAGTAGCTCGAGGGGCTGGGTTTGGTGGGTAACTTGATGGAGTCTTTTCCCGTCAATAGCGGATACACAGAGAGGCTGAGAGAGAGGAATGGTTTTAATCTGGAGTTGCTGGACGAGGTTAGAGTCGATTAGGTTACGTTCACAGCCTGAGTCGACGAAAGCAGAGAAGGAGAGGCTTTGACTATCACAAAAAAGCATGGCAGGCAGTAACAGTCGAGGAGATTTCTTCGTGTTTATTTGGCCCGCCAGACTCCTCAGATCCTCTGGCGGGCCCCGGCTTTTGATTTAGCCGGGCAGGAGGCGATGAAGTGTCCACTCTCACCACAGTAGATACATAGTTTGCTAAGAAAACGCCTCTGTCTCTCCTCTGGAGTGAGCCTGGTGTGTCCCACCTGCATGGGTTCGACATCCCTTTCACCCGAATGAGAGGCCTGAACAGGCAACGGTAGAGACTGGGGCTTAGACCTCTGAGTGGGCAACTGCTCTGTAGAGGGAGAACAAACAGTCACGTTATGTGAGGCAGAAGAAAATGTATTCTGCTTCTTAGAACTGTTTCTGGCTCGAATTCTATTATCTAATCTGATGGAGAGGCGAATTAGATCTTCGAGGGTGGCAGGTTCATCGAGGGTTGCGAGTTCATCTTTAATCTGCTCGTTCAATGCCATGAAAAAGGCTCCTTTCAAGGCGCTTTTGGTTCCATAAGCTGCCGCCTTAACCCGGAAGTTAATTGAAAATTCAGCCACCGAAGAATTTCCCTGTTTAAGGTTGAAAAGAGCTCTAGAATCAATTGTTTGGTCAGTTTCTTGGTTGAAGACCTGGGTAAATTCAGCAATGAAATCAGAGTAATAGCAATTTAAACTGTCGTCAGCGGCACATCTTGCCTGAGCCCATTCCAAGGCTCTTCCTGTTAACTGAGAGAGAATGAAAGTTATCTTCTTGTGATCCGTGGAAAAACAGCCAGGGGAGTTCTGAAAGATCAACCGACATTGAAATAAAAATCCTTTGCATTCTTTCATGTTACCAGAAAATCTTTCTGGAAGACTAGGGCGGAACTCAGATGACGTCACTGCCGGTGACCTCGGAGGTGGAATGGGACCCGGAAATGGTTGTGGAACTGGTGTAGCGTTAGCATTGTTTAAACGACTGGTGAAGTTTCGGACAACATGGTCTTGGAATTCTATACGGGAGTTTAACTCACTCAGAGCTTGAACTTGTCTGTGGATTTGGGCATCCCGTTCCTCCAATAGTTGACGGAGATGTTCTGCTGGGCCTTGAGTTTGGCCGCAGTGTTCTGTCATGATGGGTTCACTGAAGGAGACCCAGTTATGCAGAACACCACTGACGGACACAAGGATGAAAAGTTGAACAGTTTATTAAAGCACAGAACACACAGAATGTACTGATTCTGGTTCGGGCCTGGGAACTGGTTCACCGGAGTCTGCGTGAGAGACAGCACAGTTAGTGACTGCTGACAGGGTTTGATTTCCACTGGTTCACTGATTGTACCTTGAGGGTTCTTCAGGTTAACCTTGGGAGAGTCACTGTTGGTTCTGGAGAAGGGTTTGTCAGCAGAGTCCGTTTGCTGCTTCAGTGTCTCACGTCTTAGCTTGAACAGACCTTGGCTTAGATTTCCCAGCTCTAGTCCTGAGCTGCTTGGGGGTTCTCTTTGAATCTTCAGGGTTTGGCTCAGAGGGTCGGCTCGGCAGGTTAGCTCTTCCAGAGATCTCACAGAGGAGGCACGGGTTTCCTGGAAAACAGAGACAGTAGTTAGAATCCAGACTGGATTCAAAGTCATGGAGATACACTGAGGATCTAGGCTTTTGCGCTGACCAACTGGAACAACACTGCGGCGTTGAGGCAAGGTCTGAAGACAGCTTATATAGTGGATCCTCTGATGATCTTTGACGAGCTGCAGCTGTGCAGGAGGCTCCCTCAGAGGATCCACGGCGGACTCTGCTGGAGAAAGATGGGATTTCTCCAGCTCCCAACATTCTCTTCTTCAACAATAGTTTGATAATTACTATTTTTAAGGCTTGGGGAAAAAACACCCTACATGAGGGATGTGTTTATGATTTGAATCAAATCAGAGTCTAAAACAGGGAAAAATCTTTTTAATAAAACCTGTGTGTAAAACATCAAGACAAAAGGGAGATGAGCTATACTGCTAGACAGTTTCGTCCAAACTTTTGATGTTTATTGGGCAAAGTTTTCTCTTACTGGAGATCACAAAACACTGTGTACAACTAGAGTTGAATCGCATGAAAATCAATCAGCTCCTTCTCAATCAAAGGAGATGCAGTCTGACTCAGTCCAGCAACCACAGACCTCTCCAGAGGGATTTGGCTGCTACTAAACGTAGCTTCTCAACTTAAAGCTGGCGTACTATCTAGTCTTAATCGGCTGCAGGCTACCGGCAACAGGAAATTTGATCTTTGATCTCCCACCACCCCTAAAGTTTTCCCTAAAAACATGGCGCAAACAGAATGAAAACAGATTGAGGCTAACTGAATACAGTAATTGGTAAAAAAGCAAAACACAACTGTGTTAAACAGGTATCCAATGTTTTCATTGATATCTTTAACGTGTGAGCTTCCCGTTTTACAGCCCAAGAAAGGGCTGTCCCCCAGCTTTCACTTATATAACCTACTACAGCAGATTTTTTTTGTCAGTATTCAAAAGATCCAGACAATTTCTGCATTAAGCGATGGAAGAAATTTATACCAATGTGGAACATGGAAAACCTGCTTTCCAAATTACTATGTCTCAGAATGAAAAATTAAAGGAGAGGCAGTCTGACTCAGTCCAACAACCACAGACCTCTCCAGAGGGATTTGGCTGCTACTAAACGTAGCTTCCCAACTTAAAGCTGACGTACTGTCTAGTCTTAATCGGCTGCAGGCCACCCGCAACAGGAAATTGGATCCTTTTGGTCCCCCCACCCCAGGCAGGCTTCATCATCAACAGCAAGGAAAAAAGGGAAATAAGCAAATATTACAGCTCATTTCCCCTTTCAAAATCACCTGCGGTAACAGCTCTGTTCTTGGGTTAATTAGCAGTAGATCCAATTCACATTCCTCATTGTTTTCCAATAAAACTTTGAAAATCAATTCTGCCCCTTTGAGTTTTCCCTAAAAACATAATACAAACAGATAAACAGATTGAGGCTAACTAAACACAGTAATTGGTAAAAAAAACAAAAAAAAAAAAACATAACACAACTGTGTTAAACAGGAATCCCTTTTTTTCATTGATATCTTTAACATGTGAGCTTCCCGTTTCACAGCCCAAGAAAGGGCTGTCCCACATCTTTCACTTATATAACCTACTACTGCAGATTTTTATTGTCAGTATTCAAAGAGCAAGGCATTTTCCGCATTAAGTGATGGAGGAAATTTATACCAATGTGGAACACGGGAAAGCTGTTTTCCAAATTACTACATCTCAGATCGAAGGTAAGAATGATCAGATAGAGAAATGTATGATGTATTTTACAATAATTTAAGACCAGAATGAATTCAGATAATATTAATTTTGTTTGTTAAGGTTCAAGTAGCTCCAAGAAGAGGCCCTTCCTGCTTGCTATTATATTTTTGGGAATCCTAAATGTTTTACTGCTGGTTGGCCTCATCGTCCTTGGTCTCCATTGTAAGTCTTGTTCTAGTCAGCTTAAATATGGACAGAGTAAAATATATTTTGCTAAAAAAATAGCAGAAGCTCCTTCTAAAACAACCTGACTGGGTATAGAAGAACAGAATTTTGTGATTCAAAGTTTTGCAGTGCCTTCAAGGAGTTGGCCATAAAGTACACTGTATGCTACATAACTTTCACTGATGTTCAATCTAAGCCTGTCTTGCATTTCTTTTTAGATTAAAGAAACAATACTTCCTCATTTTCAATCCAAATGTACTTTCCTGCATTTTTAGATAAAATTGTAATGATATCCTCACTACTTTAAGTATTTATACTTTCTCTTTTAATGTGAATTAATTTTAAATGATAAGACATTAAGATGACCTTAATCATTAACATAATTATGTTTCTATTTTCTTTTAACAAACGTTATTGATTTATTTCAGCTTGGGACTTGGCAGCAGGTCTTTCTAACATCAATGGAAATCTTACTGACCGTCTCCAGGACAGCAACAGCAAGCTTTACTCTATGACTGAAGAAAGAAACCTGCTGTATGCTAATCTCACTGAAATGATGAAAAAGCTCAACAGGCCTCAAGGTTTGTTAAAGAAACAAACAAAAATTTATCATGTAAAATCTGCATGAAATGTATAGGTATTTTGGGTTGTTGGTCAGCTTAAATTCTTCACTTTTTTTTATTTGAAACAAAATGTAAAGGAGAACTCATTGTGCTGCAACCCTAAATTTCATAATCCCATTTTAATCTCCGTGTCTATTTCCTCCAAAGTTTTAGATAGAAGCCTTTGAAGACAGGACAACATTTAAACTTAGCTCCTTTTGTAAATAGATTAATAAAAATTTTTTTTTATCAAAGTCCAAACAATGGTATTTAAAAAACTAAATATTCCATTGTTGATGTTCAGTCTAAGCCTGTCTTGCATTTTTTTTAGATTACAGAAACAATACTTCCTCATTTTCAATCCAAATGTACCTTCCAGCATTTTTAGATAAAATCGTAATAATGTCCTCACTACTTAAAGCATTTATACTTTCTCTTTCAGTGTGAATTAATTTTAAATTATAAGACATTAAGATGACCTGAGTCATTAACATAATGATGTTTTTATTGTCTTTTAACAAACATGTTATTGATTTATTTCAGCGTGGGACTTGGCAGCTGATCTCTCTAACATCAATGACAATCTTACTGACCGTCTCCAGGACAGCAACAGCAAGCTTTACTCTATGACTGAAGAACGAAACATGCTGCATGCTAACCTCACTGAAATAATGAAAAAGCTGAACAGGCCTCGAGGTTTGTTAAAAAAAGACAAAAAATTATCATGTAAAATCTGCATGAAATGTATTGATATTTTGGGTTTTTGATCAGCTTAAATTCTTCAGTTTTTTTTTATTTATTATTATTTGTTTGTTTTTTTGGAAACAAAATGTAAAGGACAAATCATTGTGCTGCACCCTTAAATTTCATAATCCCATTTCAATCTCTGTGTTTATTTCCTCCAAAGTTTTAGATAGAAGCCTTTGAAGACAGAACATTTCAATATAGCTCCTTTTGTAAATAGATTAATATATTTTTTATCAAAGTCCAAAAAATGGTATTTCAAAAGATAAATATTCCATTGTTTTCTTGCAAAAAAGAGCAACATGTTAAAATAAAAAAAAAAATAAAAAACTTTTTTCCTTCTTTTTTTCTTTAGCGAAAACATGTCCTACAGGATGGACTAAGTTCAGTTGCACTTGTTACTTTGTCTCTACAAAGAGCGGTTCCTGGGATGAAGGAAGGCAGGATTGCATAACAAGAGGAGCAGATCTGGTGGTAGTAAATGATAAAGAAGAACAGGTGATGTGGTCATTTTTACATTAAAAATCCACTATAATTTCCCACTATGTACCTCATTAAAAATGTTTCACATTAACCCTAAATATAGAAAACACAAATAGGCTATATGCACAATTGTTGTGATATCCCTGATAAAAATGGCAAGTTTACAGGTTTGACTAAATTTACTTCTTACTTTGCCAACTCTTACTAATAAAGAACGAATATAGGGTGCATCCTGAAGGGAAGTATAATCAGAAGTATAATCAGAAGCAGAAGAATAATTCGCCCTTTACCCTTATGGGTCATCATGATGTCTGTTGCTGGAACAGATGAATGCTGTGGATGACTTATAGTTGTGCCTTTTTGTGCAGAGGCCTAAGGCAGAGTTTTGGCTCTTGCTTCCAACACTATGATTTTGGTGATAAGACATGAGACTTTAAATGTGATATTTTGACAACAAACAGAAGCTGTGGATTATAAATGATTGACTTGATGATGAGGGAGCCAATGAACTCTCAAGTAGGTGTTTAGGTGATTATAATGTATAATCCAGGGATCCTGAATGGGTATTCAGTAGTGAGTGAAGCAGGGGATTGCTGATCAGATGATACTATGCCTGTAGTGCATGGAGCTTTAGGCTACTCAGCAGTAGTGACTTAAGTATTCGAGATGCTAGTTGTTAGCATTGTGGCGTGGATCCCAAGCCATCTTGTAGTAAAACAATCATATTGTCTCAGTCTTCTTTTGGGTTTGAATCCACAGTGATGTGAGAGATTTCTTTGGATACTCTAAGCTTCCTCCCACAGCTTAAATGCAGATGCAAACCATGAACGTACACAACTAGATAGATAGATCTGCAGTAGAGAATACAGTGATATACAGTGATCTGTATATTCAGTAGTGTATGGTTCATGCACATTAACATGGTATGACCATCTTCTACCTACTACCCACTAATACAACTTTTGTATGCTGATATTTGACAGGACTTTATTTCCAGTTTTGCTAATGAAGCAGCTTGGATTGGTTTGATCGACAAAGAAACTGAAGGTTCTTGGAAGTGGGTGGATGGGACCTCTATGACTCTTTCGTAAGTGTTTACTTTTTGAGGTTATGAGCAACAGTGATACCAACAATATTGAAGTTCCTGTGAACGTGTTAGTGGGTCATGAAACTTCTGAGAAAATGATGGGAAAAGGTGTATTTTGTTGAATGCATCACCTTAGTAAGACATAGTTTTTCTTTTTTGTGCCAATTTCTTTAACTAGATAGAGGTTGGTTTAGAAAAGAAGACGATTCATACTTACTGTTGTGGACTTTAACCAGAAGGTAATATATTAAAGAACTAGAACTGGTGGTTATAGCTGATTAATAGGCCACTCAAATCAAGGGTAAACCCAATTATTATTAGTAGTTAAAGGATTATAACGGTAACCAATTATTCACCAAGGTTCTTTAGTCTATTGATCAAGGTTGGACTCCTGGACCAGCTGTTAATTGTTCACGACATAAATAACCACAAGAGACCACGGGTTGAAACATTATTACCTTTATTAGCTAATAATTAGTGTTGCACCGATACCAATACTGCAGTAAATTGGTGGTATCGGCGAGTACCAACAAATAGAGCACCGAAACCATTTTGAGAGCCAAAAGTGTATTCAACTATTGTCACCCGATCCAGGTAGGCAATACAAAGTTCTACTGGATTCACTTTGTATTAGTCTTTTTCCTGCTTAACAAAGGTAGGCAGCAGCTTGACAAAGCCACAATGACAATTATTTTATATCCAAGTAGTATGCAGTTTTGCAATTATTTACACACAGACATCAATTTCAAACAGATGGTATCGGCATCGATGCTTGTACACATTAAGGTTAGACGGGCTTCAAGAGCAGCTTTGATGCCCCTGAAGCGTGTACAGTAAAGTCTGTCCAGATTAGTCTGATTCTTCTGCTGCTCCTGTGTTCAACGGCAGAGAGTAGCTTTGCTATATTTGCTTTGATAAGTGGGTAAAAAGTAGTTTAAATACATATTTTTAAGCGAGAAGGTCCACCAGAAAACCTCATCTGTGCAGGCAGTTAATCAAGATAACAACCCTGAATTCAAATATTATTTAGCTATCTGAGCCGTTGACCCGCATTTGGTGCCCATGTAACAGCACATGCTGTTCACTGAGGTGCCAATACAAACTAGCCCAACCACCATCCCCTGGGTAGCTGTTCTGGGCCGCTGCAACTCGAATACCCTCCGCTGCCAGGTCCCCCCCATTCCACCGGGCCAACATAGTTAACCCCTTTTCCCCCTTTTTTCATCTGATGCCTAATAAGTACTCTGCTTGGGTGACAAAAGGTATAATATATATTCTTCCATATGTTATCTTTGTTTAATCTGAAAGAAGCTCTCTGGTTTAACTGCTGATGTTTTTAAAGTAAGACTTCTGAACTGAATGCAGATGCTCAGAAGCAGTTAGTTTACATGCAAAGTCAATGGTTGACACACATCAGGGTGCAGCAAAAGGTCCTGCAGCACGTTTTGAGCAGCAGGAGCAGCACGTCTGACGAGCTAAATTAAGTCAAAATGTCGAAACCTGCCAGCAAAATATGTTCGATTTCATTATTCTGGTGCCTGCAGTTTGGATTACATACATGAAAAGCGCCCTCCAGCTTCCGCGAATATTAGCGGAAAACTGAGAATAAGCGAAGAGGCTGCTGTTGAACTGGATTTCCAGGGATAGAGCACCGCCAGTGTAACCAGAGACTGGGTAGATTCTCATTTGCTTTAGCAGGCAGATTCACAAAACACTTCATCTTGGTTTGAACAGCAGGAAACAAAACGCTATATTTAGGTCTTTCTGAACAGTAGGCAGGATGTAGTCTGGCTTTGTTCAGACTGTTCACCAAGGGGGGTGGTAGCCACATAACATAGTTTCAGCTGAGAACCAGTGTGTCTCCCCGGTCAGACCATTGGCTCCCAAGGCAACATTTCAGACAAAAAAAAAATGTATATATATACACTATATTGCCAAAAGTATTTGCTCACCTGCCTTGACTCACATATGAGCTTAAGTGACATCCCGTTCCTAATCCATAGGGTTCAATATGACGTCGGTCCACCCTTTGCAGCTAGAACAGCTTCAGCTCTTCTGGGAAGGCTGTCCACAAGGTTTAGGAGTGTGTTTATGGGAATTTTTGACCATTCTTCCAGAAGCGCATTTGTGAGGTCGCACACTGATGTTGGACGAGAAGGCCTGGCTCTCAGTCTCCGCTCTAATTCATCCCAAAGGTGTTCTATCGGGTTGAGGTCAGGACTCTGTGCAGGCCAGTCAAGTTCATCCACACCAGACTCTGTCATCCATGTCTTTATGGACCTTGCTTTGTGCACTGGTGCACAGTCATGTTGGAAGAGGAAGGGGCCAGCTCCAAACTGTTCCCACAAAGTTGGGAGCATGGAATTGTCCAAAATGTCTTGGTATGCTGAAGCATTCAGAGTTCCTTTCACTGGAACTAAGGGGCCAAGCCCAGCTCCTGAAAAACAACCTCACACCATAATCCCCCCTCCACCAAACTTTACACTTGGCACAATGCAGTCAGACAAGTACCGTTCTCCTGGCAACCGCCAAACCCAGACCCGTCCATCAGATTGCCAGATGGAGAAGCGCGATTCGTCACTCCAGAGAACGCGTCTCCACTGCTCTAGAGTCCAGTGGCGGCGTGCTTTACACCACCGCATCCGACGCTTTGCATTGCACTTGGTGATGTATGGCTTGGATGCAGCTGCTCGACCATGGAAACCCATTCCATGAAGCTCTCTGCGCACTGTTCTTGAGCTAATCTGAAGGCCACATGAAGTTTGGAGGTCTGTAGTGATTGACTCTGCAGAAAGTTGGCGACCTCTTCGCACTATGCGCGTCAGCATCCGCTGACCCCGCTCCGTCAGTTTACGTGGCCTACCACTTCGTGGCTGAGTTGCTGTCGTTCCCAAACACTTCCATTTTCTTATAATACAGCTGACAGTTGACTGTGGAATATTTAGGAGCGAGGAAATTTCACGACTGGATTTGTTGCACAGGTGGCATCCTATCACAGTTCCACGCTGGAATTCACTGAGCTCCTGAGAGCGACCCATTCTTTCACAAATGTTTGTAAAAACAGTCTGCATGCCTAGGTGCTTGAATTTATACACCTGTGGCCATGGAAGTGATTGGAACACCTGATTCCAATAATTTGGATGGGTGAGCAAATACTTTTGGCAATATAGTGTATATATATATATATATATATATATATATATATATATATATATATATATATATATATATATATATATATATATATATATATAAGGATGTCACTTGCATATTATCCCCATGCAGAGTTGCTTTCAAGGGTGAAATAATGCGAAATTTCAAACTTATGCAGGTGGTGCATTCAGACCGAATACAACAAAGTAAGAGCAAAGCCACACCTGCAATAAATGTAAAGTGAATTTCACTAGAATTGAGGAATCTGAAAATTTCTGTTACAATGTGTTGCAAAAACCAATCAGAGAATATGTCTGTGGTATAGGATGAAGGACAGCAATTTGCCTTGCTGCCCTTCACTGCCTAAGCATCCCTCGCTTAGGACATCACTGAGTCAGTGCCTAAAGATAGCCGCTCTTGCCCACTGGGATCCGCAAAGCCTTAATCAACCTGAGTGAAAACATGAAAACACCTCCACCTCAAAAGATTTAGCCATGATGTAAGGACCAATTTAACTCCACTTATACTCATGCTTCACTATTTCAAGTTTAGCATGATACTACTTTCCTTTGTCCTCGCTAGTGGTGGCTGGCCAATAGAGGGGGTTAGGGCGCTGCCCTACCGACTCAATTACCTTAATTAAGGCATAAAAAAACAAATAAAAACGTATTTATAAATGTTAAATATTTTGAAATATATTAATATATTTTTTTAGATGTGCAAGATAAATATTAATTCTCTAATGACAAGTAAAGCTGTTTCATTCATCGTGGGATTGGTAATGTATTTTCGCCCTGGGGCGCAAAAAACTTCAGCTACAGACTCTCGTTAAAAGTTCTACAAGAGCAGTAGCTCCTCTGCAATGCAAAAGGATTTGAGAGCTTGGGGTGCAGTCCGAGCAGACAGGAACTGTCATCACGGTAGTAGTGCGGCTAACTGACAGGTTAAGTCCCTGAGGGTGAAGCAATACAAGAGAGAAAGAGAGGGAGAGTGTGAGAAATGGCGCAAGAAAAATTTAATTCAGTGAAGTCCCTTAAAGCAAACTTACCAAGGGAAGCTGGAGGATAAACCGTTTGGACCTGATTAGCTAAACGTCAAAATTAATCAGCAGTCTAAAGACAGATGAAGACGGTAGAGGCGGTCGTTTTCCAGGACCTGGTTTAGCTACAATGCTTGGCTAACTGCCTGCAACAAGGCTAATGCTTTAATCTTTATGCTGAACTAGGGTGACCAAACGTCCCTATTTCCCGGGACATATCCGTATTTCATGTCCTGTCCCGGGCGTCCTGGGTTTTTTTCAGAAAGTGAGGAAATGTCCGGATTTTTTAAATTACCTTAGTTGGACCATTACATTTACAGGCACTAGGGCACTGTGCACGACGCTGCTTGTGACGTAATCCCTGAGCCGCGTCAGTGCGGGCAGCCCTGTTCTTAATCAGAATATAGATTGCGTGGCTGTCAGTACGCCAACAACATGCAAAAGCGCAAATGTATGTTTACTGACGATTTACAAAAGAGTTTCCCCGCTTTCAGACCGGATCGAGACAAATGGGAGGCCTTGTGCACAGTGTGCAAAGCAGGCACATATGTCTCCATGTCCAATGGAGGTGCAAGGGATCTGAAAAGCTACCTGGACTCCGAAAGTAAAGAAAGCCTATTGATATGTTTGTTCGTTTTTGGTACATTTTGAATACGTTTTGCTACACAAGAGGTATTTTTTGTTAATTAGCTCTTTTATTATTTATTTTTTCCAATAGCCTACAGAACAGACATTATTTTGTTTATTGCTGAGGCTGAGTATCATCTGTTATTGGGAGTTGAGAGTTATTGTTAACTTTTATTGTTAAGTGAGGGATGTTTAGATGAGATTATTTCTTTCATTGTGCTATTCATTCGTTACAGGAATTGTTAAGCATTTTTAATTAATACATTTTGAATGAAATTATTGTTTGTTATTGGAGCTATTGCTGTTGACTTTTACTGAAAAGCATTTTTAATAAATCAACTGTAAATATCATGTTATTGTAGGATTGCGTAGGTCTATTTTAAGTGAGTGCATGCCACAGACATCTCTATGCAGGGGAACAGAGATCCCCCCCCCCCCCCCCCCCCCCCAGCTGAACCAGCATAGATAAATACAGATAGGACTCATTTAAAGCACTTTTTACTAAAGGCAAAGAAGCATGAACAATCTGGGATTCACATGAAAATAATATAATATAGTGTACTCTTTTCTAGATGTTTCTTAATTTGCATAGTTGCTTTTAAATAAACACATTGTCAGAAAATAAATACTTTATATACAAAATATAAAACTAATAATAGCTAAAAGTACTAATAGCTTCTCCATTATCAAACTGGTTCATTACTTTTTTTAGGTTTTTGACACAATATTGGACCATGCAAAACACAGATTTACCTTCACAAAGCCTCAGAAGCACAAGATTTATGTACAAAAAGTAAACCTGTTCATGAAATTATGTTTTTGTTTTTAAAATTTTTTTTAATTTTTTTTTTTGTTGGCATTCATATAAATACACTGGTGTGATAACTTAGTATACATTTGATTGGTTTTTGGGATACATCTATTTTGAATTTATAGCCCCCCCTGGAGTAAACTCCATCAGCCGCCACTGGTCCTGACCACATCCTATCTTAACCTCCATTGCTCATCCTCACGCCTTGGTACCAACCACTTTAGTGACACTTTTTATAAATTTGTCTGGGTGGTGGGGTCAAACATTTACATCAGGTTGAGTTATACGTTAATGCACTTAGGATACCCTGACCATGAACCTTTATTTTTATGTCTCTTGTAAATTGTAATGCTCTAAAATTAACCTACAATAAGGGGCAAATAAAAAATCCTATTTGATTATGCTTGTTATGTAATAATATTTACACTGTGGAATGACTCACTTTTATTTAAATATTTCAGATTTTGGAGAGACAATCAACCTGATAACTGGAATGGTGATGAAGACTGTGGACAATATATAAACAAACAGTGGAATGACTATCCCTGTGCAGCATCTCTCAAATGGATCTGTGAAAAACTACCGCCATGGAGTGCCTGAAAAATATCTGCTGTTAATGTAATCGAAACATTATAATTGTCTGAATTATAGGTATAGTGGAGGATTTCCGCAAATATTTGAAAAGACCCAGCCTCTTTACTTAAAAAAAAAATGCACATGCACAACCCTGTACCGCTCTAAACCTGTGCAAGAGCATGCATGAGTCCATAATTTCTCCTAGTGCACACTGTTTAAAGTTGCTGTTTACATTGCCCATACAAACTTACGTTCAAAAAGAAGATTAGCAATTTTTCCACTATGTCAGACTCACAACCTTTAAGTGAAAATGAGGACGAGCACGTAGGATGGCTTTACATAAAGACATATCACCAGAGTGATTTACAGTTAGGAGGACCACTTATCAGGATTGCAGCCCTGGTAGCTGGTCTGATTACTCACTTCATTCACCTACTGTTCCATCCCTGCGCTCTAATTATCATCCATCTTATTCACCTGCTCCCCCTGCTTTATATATGGTTCAGCCCAGCTATCGGGGCCAGATCATTGTTCCTAGATTTTTGTGTTATTCAAGTTTTGTTTAGTCCTCGGTTCATGTTCCCGTCCCCGGAGGCCAGTGGATTGAGATGGTTTGTTATTTGTCTCGTGTCTTCTGATTGTATCCCGGCTCTTCTCCGCTGAACCCTTAGGGTTTTGGCTCGGCAAGCGGGGGAGGTCAGTTTTTTCCTGTAATCCTGGCTGAGAGGTTGAGTATAGTTTAAATTTTGGCAGTTATTCTGGTACCATGTCTTGTCTGAGTTCCTTTCTACCAATGAACCTGCCTGTCTATATCTGAGCGTGTCTATCTGAGCTCGCTGCAGGACTCATTGGAACTCTGAACCTGCCTGAATGCTCGGTAGATTCCTGGAACCCTGGATCTGTCTGTTTCTGTACCCCTGGTTGGACTACGGACTCCTGGATCTCAGAACAGTCCTGTTCTGAACTGTTTCCCTGAACTGGATCAGTCCTCTGCCCACTCACTGGTGCTGCTGCACAGGGAACTCTCTGGATGGCTCAACATCGCATCTCGTTGGCAGAGCATCAGCTGATCCTGCCTTTCATGAGAGGATTTAAAGAACTGTTTCACCAGAGTGCCAGTAATGGCTTGTACCCCGCCCCCATCACAGCCGTTGCTGGTCAACTGATCCACGGCAGCCTGCGTTCTGTTTTTGTAATTTCCCACAGTTCTAACTGGCCTTGAATACTGGATACATGTGTCCCATTTCATGACACTTATTTTGATGATCCACCCAGAAAAAAGAACAGCATCGCTATACCCTTAAGCTAATATCGAAATATAGTTTTGCTCTCTGCGTTTATACAGTACTTCCTCTGTTCAAGGTTTCTTTCAAGTTATTGTTTATCGAAGATTTCTATAAAAACAAAAATATTGTACTATTATACTATACTACTATTGTTTTTTTAAATCATGCTGACTTTTCTATAAGGGACAAACAATGACAAAAGAAAAATTAATTTGAAAATGAATAAAGACATATAAATAAAAACAATATTCATAAAATTGTATAAATGAATAGATGAAAGAATATTCTATTTTTTTAAACAAAAGCCTTGAAATTGAGGATTGCTCCATTTCCCCTCAAATGTTGGTTGAGATGTAAAAAAAGAGAGAATGCAAACCAATTCAATTCCAAGGGTATAGGAAATCAAGTCCCAGCAAACTATTTCTACTAACATTGTAAAAAGAGTCTCACCAGCTCAGTGTTTAATACAGTTAACCCTAAGAATAGAAGCCGACACCATGTGGATATTGGTCTCAGAAATCGGATTACAGGATAATAAAGAGAGTATCAGCATGAAGATTTTCTAACATGCTTTCCTTCTCAAATAAAAAAACAACATAAATTAGTGCCTGGAAGTCAGTAAAGAATTGAAATAAATACAAAATAAAATCATAATCTAAACCTGGATTTATAAAAATTTAACAGAACTATAATCACATTTAAACTTGATGAATAGGGAACAAAAAATATTTTCAGACTTAATTAGTTATGTTTTCATCCAGACACCTGAGCTGCTTTGATTAAAGGAATAGTACACCCAAAACATGATTAGCCTTCATTTTCTACTCACCCCCATGCTGAACAACACCCTGGAGTACTTTTTTGATATCTCAAATGCATCTGGAGATCTGGGAGGCTTCTTGCTGTCTGCTGACATTGAAATAATGGAGGTCTACGGTGCCCGAGACAGAAAGGTCCATAAAAGTCCACAAAAACGTGTCAATATTCCTCCATACTGCTCGTCCAATGTATTCCAAGTGTCCTGAGTGGGTAGCATCCAGAATTTACTCGAAACGAAGTCATTTAGAATGTTTTTAGAGCATAAACAGTAGTGTATAGTATTTCCTAAAAGCGCGCGCCAGCGCGTTCAGGACGCTACGGAAGCCGGCAGACCAAACCAGATGAAAGTGCGCATTCAGCGTCTGCTCTGCCGATAATGCAAGCGTAGAAGAAGAAATGTGCTGTTTACCTGTGCAAAGAAAGAAACAACGAAAGAAAAATGTCTGAGGACTTCAGTGTTGAGGAAGAGCATGAGTTCTTTGCCGAGCTGAATGCGCTGGTTTGGTCTGCCGGCTGCCGTAGGCTCGTGAACGCGCTGGCGCGCGCTTTCAGGAAATACTATACACTACTGTTTATGCTCTAAAAACATTCTAAATGACTTCGTTTCGAGTAAATTCTGGATGCTACCCACTCAGGAAACTTGGAATACATTGGACGAGCAGTATGGAGGAATATTGACACGTTTTTGTGGACTTTTATCGACCTTTCTGTCTCGGGCACAATAGACCTCCATTATTTGAATGTCAGCAGACAGCAAGAAGCCTCCCAGATCTCCAGATGCATTTGAGATATCAAAAAAGTACTCCAGAGTGTTGTTCAGCATGGGGGTGAGTAGAAAATTAAGCCTAATCATGTTTTGGGTGTACTATTCCTTTAACTCCGATAGCTCATTGTGAAAAACAGCAGATCCCAGTCAGTTCTCTACCATCCATGCTGTTCCTCTGCTTGGTTAAGCTTGTTTAATTTTTCAATTGGGTCCTCATATAGAAAAACAGATCCCAGCCCCATTTTATTTCACTACCTAAGAAATCAGTCATATCATGCCTGAAAAAATCTCCCAGTCCAGCCATGTCTACTATAGTCCACTGCTGAACCATCAGTACAAATTCGACAAATTTCGATCTTTATGTTGTCTGTCTGACTAATGATTTTCAAAAATCTTTTACAACTATGATTATGCTGAATAGAATGTTTTTTTGTTTGTTATGTTTAGTCAACTGAAATTTTATTTAGCCAGCAGTGAATAATTCTTCACTAGTTTGCTTTTTAGTTGGAAGTGCATCATCTAAACAAATAATAAAAAAGGGAAACTGCTCATTTCAAGTGACTGACTTATCTATAAAGGAATACGGTTTAGAATTCAGAGACTGGATGAGAATATGACTGTGGCATAGAGTGAAGGAGAGTAATTTACTGTAGCTTGCTGTCCTTCACAGCCTAAATATCCCTGGCTTAGGACATCACTTAGTAAGTGCCTAAAGCCAGCAGGTCTGGTCCATTGGGATCCGCAAAGCCTCTATCAACCTGTGGTGAGGAGGGTAGGTGAAAACACCTGCACCTCAAAAAGAATTAGTTTTGACATAACAACTAGTTTCCCTCTGCTAATTCTCACGCTTCACTGTCACAAGGTCAGCTAACTGCTACCTTCCTTTGTCCTGACCACAGCCCGTCTTGACCTACATTGCTCATCCTCACATTTAGCCCTGTCCCTTAGTGTGTCTTGGTACCAACCACTTTAGTGGCACTTTTTTATAAATTTGTCTGGGGGATGGGGTCACACATTTACATCAGGTTTGGTTTTTTAATGCGCTTAGGATATACTGACCTTGGGCCTGAGGTTATCCTGAGCTATATCTATAGTTATGCTGCTTTAGGCTTAGACTTCTGGAAGACATAGGGACCCCTATTTCATCATTTTGCTTCATTCTATCTCTATTCTTACACTCTGCAGAATGTTAGTTTAATCTCTAACATTATGCGTTCTCTGCCTTTTCTCATAGTAGCTACACCTCATCTTTTCCTGTTTGGCTGTGACATCATCCTGGAGATAAATATCAGCTGTGCTACAGCCATTAACACCTTTGTTTATAGATGTTGGAGATCAGCCAGTTTTCCAGTGTAGTCCTGTTTCTCTGACTGTAACTGGCTGGACATGCTCTCTTCATCCTCTGACATGGGAGCTGGCTCAGAGTTTGTCTGCCTTGGCTGTGTGTTTCCTGGACGTGGCCGCCTTTTACAGCTCACTTTTGTATCTCGGCTTCTGTCTCTTTAAACCCCAGTCGGCCTAAACAGATTGCCGCTCCCAATGAGCCTGGTTCTACTGTAAGTTCTTTCTGTTAAAAGGGAGTTTTTCCTCTCGACTGTGGCTAAAAGCATGCTTCGTGTGAGGGATTGCATTCAAGTCAATGAGTCGATGCAATCAATTGGTGTCCTTAGACAGAAAACTTTGAACCACTTTGACTGTATGATCTAGTGAACTGTAATGTGCCTTGGAATCACATGTGTTGTGAATTGGATATTTTAGTTTTATATAAATAAACTGAATTAAAATTGAATTGAATGTAATTTAAACATTAGAATTCTCACAACGCATCCACCCACCTTCTGATCTTAAGGTTCTATCTCTGGAGCTTTTCTTTTAATTATCTTCTTCTTTTCTTTCTACTGCTTTTGGTAAATATAACATTCATTTCCAGTGTTATGTGGATGCAGAGGTGTCAAGTAAAAAGGTACAAATACCTCATTACCTTAGTTAAGTAGAAATTTTAACTATCTATACTTTACTGGAGTAATAATTTTTTAGACAACTTTTTACTTCTCCTCCTTAGATTTTAAAAATGAACTTGTTCGTTTTGTTTCATTTAAGCTATTTTTCTTTATGGCCTGTTGGTATAAAATGATATATATAAAAAAAAGAAAACTTTCAAAATAGTTTTTTTTCATCTAGACAATTATTTCTTTGTGATTGGACTCGGTACCTCACCATCTTGTTATTTAGCACATACCAAAATTAATAGTTTTTCAAGATGATGCAAAGTTAAATTTCATGCTGTTGCGCTTAGTTATAAAACTAAGAAAATTAAGTATAAGGAAAAAGGCATCCGGAATTGTAGGGTAGTGCACTAAAGCATCCGCACTTAAATTTTTTCCTGCATTACTTTTACTCTTATATATTATGGTTTTCTAAATGTTACATTTACTTGAGTAAAAATCTTAAGCTGATACTCTAACTTCTACAAAATTGTTCTTAAAGCAGTAGGTTTTATACTTCTACTAGAGTAATAAACAATAATACTTTTGACACCACTGTGTGGACGACACCCATCTCGTCATAACTACCCAGGATTCTGGCTCTTAATGCTGTCGACCTCAGCAGAGGCTAAACAGAGATCATTCTCATTAGTTTTCAATCCAGAAACGATGTCTCCATTGTTTTCCACAAGAAAAGATGGAGAATCTCTCACAAAAATGTAGTTCTAAAAAAGGTGAAATAAATATTTCAAAGCAGATATAACCTCTATTTAATTGGTATAGAAAGGACTTCAAATGTTATTTTTGAATAAACCTGCCATTTTTAGTTATTTAATTAATTAATTATTGGTATTAATAATTTTTTTGTTATTTAATTAATTATTCTTTGTAATGTTTCTGCTGTTCTTTTAACATCCCTGGAAATCAGAATATACTGTAGTGTTGATCTCTGCATTCATACTTCATCTATTTGAGGTTTCATTCCAGTTATGTTTATTAAAGATTTCTAAAGAAAGACGACAAAAAAATAATGTTTTTAAAATCCTGTTATCCACCTTTTTATGAGGGACAGAAAATGACAAAATAAAACCTAAATATGAAAATGAATTAATAGACCTATAACTAAGGAAATAGACATATGATTGTCTAAATTAATAGATACTAAATTACTGTTGTACTGTTATCACTATGTGTTGGATACACTGTGTATGTTAACGCAGATTAACAGCAAGCCAAACTCAATTTTCATGAGCCAGAAGGCTGAGCGTCTTGCTCCTTTATTACGGTCTTCTTACAATTTTGTACAATTTTGTGGGAAGC